CTAGAGACATAGTAGCTTAACAAGCGTGTTGCTGAAGCTCCTGGAAAACCTTGTTGCTGGTACTAGTGAATGCCAGTTAATGTCATTTGCGTTGCTCAGCCATTCCCAACACGGTTCTCTTGAAGCCTATCTTTGCCTTACCGATTCAGTGGTTGCCTGCGTAAATTGAACCTATGCAGTTGATCAAGGATAATCTCTGGATGCATTGCATATCGACTTCTCCAAAGCTTTTGACACTGTTCAGCACCCTTGCTTTTTGTTACCGTTGCATACTTATAGTAGCTCGTGGTCAGTCTTGGAATAGAGGCGGGCTTTTTTAACCGGAACGGTGATGTGTGCTCGTGTGCCCTCTAGTCAGACTTAAAATCAGTGTTTTCAGAGCCTTGTCAAGCAGTAGACGGCCTTTGGCCCTCTGCTATTCGGCTTGTTTTTAAATCACCTACCCGGCAAACTGGGAGACATATTTCTAAAGTTTGCCAAAAAACTTAAAGTGCTGTCCACAGTAAATGCTACAAAATGCACTAGCTAGACTCTGTAACTGGTCCGGCCTGTGGCTGTTGCCTATTAATCTGGCTAAATGCTCAGTTTTGCGATTAGGGGAAAAGGATCTACAATCGCGCAATTTACTCGGGTGTAGTGAAGTTCAGCATATGTTACTCTAATCGGACTTGGGCTTCTTGAATTCCTTTGATTTCAGTTTCAGTGTACATTGGTTAGTAGCTATTCGCAGGGCTGCTGACATATTGTGAATGATCCGCAGATAATTCGGGGTCAAGCAAACCAAAATGTTTGCCAATTTATTTGCAGACTTTGTTAGGCCACACATAGATTACTGCTTAAGGGCTTGTCTAACCTGCCTAGTGCGGGACACATAGCTGTTGAGCGCGTTTTACGATTAAAGACAAAGCTGATGTTTAAATTACAGCAGCTGTCTTATCTTGAGAGGGTAGTCGAGTTGGACAACTTTCGACGCGCAATTCTCGATAACGCGGTGATCTTGTCCTTACCTGTCACATATTATAGTTTAGGTCGGGCCTAATTTATTTGGAATGCACCATCCCACTCGGACGAAATCTCTTTTTGGCCCTCCACTAATGTTGAACAAACCCGTTCGGAATTGGCTTAGTATTAATTCTCAGTTATCCCACCGGGGTAAAGGCGTTTGTATTGCACTGCCAGCTAAAGTAGTGGTAGCGCCAACGGTGAAGAAGTACGCTAATCGACTCTGCGCACACGTTCTGCATTTCCTAATTTCCTTCCCAGCTAAGCCTTACTCTTAGCTGCTGATGCATACGACCTCTAACTTCTCATTTGCCCTCCTAACAATTGGTACACTCATTGTTCAGGCTTGACTTGTTTTGATTGTTCTATTACATTTACATCATTTCGCGTGGCCAGCACAGGAAACTCCCAGTGCAGGGCACTGGGATATTTTTTGCTTAACCTAGGGTGCAGCGTGTGTTTTGTTTTGTCTTCTCTTTGCAGCTCGCCCCGCAGATTCCGATCCTTTAGCAGGTACTGTTTACAGGGTGAAACAACCACGGGTTCTTCTACTGTTCCGATTTCACGAAGTTAACCTTGGACGGTTTGCCAGAGAAAGCGACTACATTCAGCTGTATTTTATCATCCAATCTGTAAATAATGGACGTTAGAAAGGTCTTCTGGCTCTTTACCGAAACAAAATTCAGAAAGAACATATATGCCCCACCTTATCGTCCCCATCGGACACTCGAAAGTTTACAAACAAGGTGTCAGGTCCACTCAGGTTCCAAAGTCTACACAGGCCTTTGCCTTTGCTTTCTCTTATTCCGTCGAGCGAACAAGAACAGCCGCTACTTCGACTTCTGATTTACTTACACTGCCTTCGTAAGAGATTGGAGCAAAACAGAAGCAAGTTCTGCGCTGTCACACCTTAGGAGGTTACACGGACAAGCTTGAATGAAATTGCACTTATTCTGCGCAAGATCAGACCAACACGTATCAAAGCTTCATAAACGCCTCTACGGTGCTGCACACTATTTATGCTAGAGACAGTTTATTCCAGCTTTGGACTACACGATTCGCAAAGGATGCCGTCCTAATATCCTGCCTTCGCCTCTGATGCTTGAGTTGCAGTTAGTGTCTTTGCATGTGGTCTTACCCAGCTAGCTTATAAGTTCAGTATACTGGATACCACTAAAACACTTCACGCTTTTAGAAGCCTCTATTAGACAACTTTTAGTCCACGACATTCTGCTGACTACAGGCCTCAGCTACATTAGCATACAGCGTACCGCTTGTCACCTAGACTTTCAAACATCATGGTAGCCAATGTTGTACTACGCTATACGGGTCACACATTTCTGGTGGTATGGCTCCTATGCCTGTGCACGGTATTCCAGCTAAGGCCTTACCACTACTTGGTATAAAGGAAGATAAACCTTGGCTCTAGTGTTCCATAAACTTATTTGAGGCAAAACAATTCATTCCGCTCTTAGTCTACAGAATGCTTACGCTGCGCAAGATTGTCGGTAATTATTAGTTTTATGTCTAAAATTTTTCCAGAGTAATATTTACTAAATTTTGGATACTCAATAGTAATTCGTGCACACTACTTTCCGATTCATTGGGACGGGCCTGCCTTTTTGACTGCTTCCACACGTGTTTACATGCTTGCGCCCAGGTCAGTTATACTTAACGTGTTATGACCACAAGCAACTTTTGTATTTCTGCACGGATCTCAGACGCCTTCCTTCAGTTACAGGTTGCTCGATGTCAAGCGTTCATCGTTTGATTGTTCGGAGCAAAACTTTGTTGTTTAGTGGGCTTCGCAGTAGTCACCAAGCAATGTGTATAGATAGCATTTTCTATTATTTCGTTTTTACCAACTTTGGTTTAAACCAAATTAGGTTGTCAGGGTTGCACGAGAAATTCATCGGAAAGATCAAATCCACTTTCTCTTGTAAAGCCTAGTATCCCGTCGGCTGACTTTTGAGAGCCTCACCTTCCTGCTTTGAGTGAGAACCTACTTTGCAGATTTGGACCACTTGCAGGCACATTCGATTAGTTGAGCTTTCTGAGTTTATTGTTCCCTACCCTCGTCTAGGCATGAATATGATAGCATTGTTACTCACTGCGGGTCATGCTGGTCGCGGAAGCGCAATGCTGAGCAAACTTTGAGTTGTCCAAATCAACACAATGCTGTGCCACATGCGCCCGTTGCATCCGGAACCATCACTTGATGCACGCACTCTGACGCTTCTCCTCGCCGGTTCTTGGCCTGGTCTGTCAAAGGCGGCTGCTGCATCCATTTTGGCTGGCAGAACAGTATTTACCGCTCATTTTGGGATCGGTTGCACTTGGCGCTTCGCATCATTTTAAAGTTACACATGCACTTTGACGGGGTATATTTGTTCCGCAGTTCAACACGGCAGCTATGGCCTATGTTAGCGAAACTGGCAGATTATTGATCACAAGTAACCCCTAGTAAAATTTACTACAGATTAACATCAGGTTGACATGCAATACTTACTTGCACCAAAATCAGTGACTTCCGCTATGTGAAGAAACCGGGTGTATGTATAATTAATGACGGAAAGCTTATTAGGGTTATGTTGCAAAGAATTGTGTCTAATGCAGCATCACGAGCATACCTTCGTCCAGTAAAAAGCACTCAGGATACGTTGGCTGCAAAGGAGGTTACACGGTTTGGACGGTTAAGTTCTCATTTACAACAAAATTATGTGTGTTTGTCTTGACGGAATAACCACCTATCCGCAGTTTAGGGACACTATGCTCCTGAGTGACATTGACTTTGTTTCTAGGCCCTAGTAGGAGCAACAACTTGGTCTTCCACCTTTCGTGGCACCACAGGAAGATGATTGAGTACTTCCAGTTATATTGCATGCACCGAGTTTTCCGCGGTGTGCTGAAAAGTACGTGCCATTGATGACGCAGTGTGCCCATTGCAAGAAAGGGGTGTTTTCCTTTCACAGCTATACGTGATGCAACCAACCGCTTCGATCGTAATCCAAGTAAAATTCGCAACTGTGACGAGGCTGCGTGATGTATACCCCATAAGTTTGGCCAGCTATTGCAGTATTTTGGCATAGTGGTTAAGCAAACCATTCTTCCAGATAAGCACTACCGCAACCTTGTCGACCGCTTTGCTGTTTCCTACGTATTATGCTAGAAAAATGGTGCTCTTATCATCCGTTGAATGTGGGATCCAGGTATTAAACTGTGTTTTGACAGATACGCGCATTATACGGCGAACAGGGGCTATTATTTAATTTTCTCTGTGTGTTACCGTTATGCCAGGCAGTGCGCCAGGTAAGTCCCTTGCCCAAAGACTGTTCATTTCATCCAAACATTTCTCGGACGTTAGCGGAGCACAGTACAAGGGGCGCACCTGCCAACGTCACAGAGTATTCGGCGTTACATGAAACGGTGTTCAACACAGGTACTGGGAACCTTCCTGCTGACGTTCAATGAAGCTATTTTTATGCCAAAGATCGACAACGTGACTTTATTTATGTGCAACGGTGTGGTCAGTACTATGAAGCAAACGAACAATGTGGTTTATAGTTGTTGGCATGCCGACAACGGTAATGAGTATAATGCAAGTATAGCTATATGCTCAGTCTTGCTGCAAGGCCAAAGGTTTTTCCGCAAGTACATACCATCGGGAAACATGGCTTCTACCAATGCACTGGCGCCATGATTCCACCAGAATGGATGGAAAAAACCTGGTAAAATTAAGACGACTTTCCTTGCCTTTGGATGTCGCTGTGGTTATTTATCCGATAAAACGGAGATGAGTTCGAAGTTGGGTCTAATCCTTTAGCTATATGTGACCACTCACTTACCCCTTATGCTTAACTTACAGATGGATCGGGTCATATTATTTAATTAATGCAGTGTCGCAGTTGCGCATGTCGCCTGGCTGGCGAGCGAAAGCAATGTAAGATGGTCCAATGTGTCTTTTAGGCAGCCTGAAAGCCACTTGCTGGACAACAAACCTGCGCCTGCTGGTTGGATACTTTTCAATGTAAGGAAGCATGGGTCCACCATTGAGTGTCCTTTCTACCTAGGCATCCACACTTAGATGATCAAGCAAGGTCTACGCCGTTCGAAAGCCAGGTTATGCTAAGCTTAGAACTACGGTCCAGAGATGCTACCTGCATAATGGAACGCGACGAATAGCGAAAAATATTAGTATATCGTAGATCAGTGCTTTCTGTAGCAGCGCGCTAAAGTTCTTAGAGTACAAAGCACGGATGAAGCAGTCCTTAAGCCATCAACGAAGAGCCTCGCAGGACGATGGCTACGTTTCATGCCCTTTAGGTGAAGTCGGTTGGTGATGTGACACCACAGAAATTACTAGGAAATATCTCGCTAACCTTTAGATCGAAAAGCTCAAATAAAGCTTAAGTAACGTTTGGCCACGTACCCACCAATACCGCACGCCTGCCTTTGCCGTAGATATGGACTGATTAAGTTCCGGACACAAACGAGTTTAAGAATGTTTGTTTCCACGCCTGTACGTTGCGGCCTTGGTTGTCTCTCACCTTCCTTTTTCTCCGAGATTCGGAACTTCCTGGGGATCTGGGATTGGACCGAGAAACCGCTTTTGTCCGGGACAGAACAACTAATAAGGACCTATGGAGCATATGGCAGTACAACAAACGGACACAACTGTACTCATTACCATGACCGTTGCCCAATTATGATAACTGGACTCGATAACTTCACACTCCTGAAAAATCCAGACGCAAGTATTTGAAGTTTCGTCCACCTGGATACCCACAAAGAGGATTCTTATTGAAGTCCCCATCCTCGATTCGTCTCAGCCATTATGGCGGCCTTGCCCAAGATACCTGCCCAAATAACAGAGAAAATTGTAGGTCATTTGACTGCGGATATCTGAGGGTGAAATTAGTTGGAAACGTGGTCTGCCAGTTATATATTAGTGCACCAACAAATTTCTGTCAGTGTTCCAGGACGTGGTGGGTTTTCGGCTGGCAAGCGTTCTCCCTATAAAAAGCCACAAATGTCCGCCTAACAACACTGCAATGTGGCGGATTTGACTCGCCATTGCTTAAAGTCACTGCCCAGAACTACCTACTGGCAAGTCGACCAGAATCATTATCCAATATTGCTCTGACACTTTCAATACTAATTTACACCATGCCTATATGTATCGTTTTCATTACACATGTAGTGCCCTGACTGTTTACACTACGCACTCTAGAAATGAACGTTTCGTCAGTCATTGATGACTCTATCCCTCATGACTACCTACACAATTTCCGCAGCCTGTACAACCTTCGGCTTACTGCCGACTACACTCATAGCAACGTGTTTGCTGCGAAGCAATATTGCATGTAAATCTCGATCATGCCTTACTTGGTGTGTCTCGACAAATTCGAGAATAAACTATTTATTTATTTATTTATAAGCCAAAGTTAAAAGTTCCATTGTCCCCCAAAACCTGCACATTTAGCTCCGTTGTTAAATGTTATGCTTGACGTTCTTAAACTGCGCAAGCAGCACCACACAAAGGTGACCCGCATCAGGTTCAGTTTACTACGACACGTTGGGGGATCGGCGACGTGTGCTCGTAAATATTATCAATTGACTTCGCCAGCGGCTTGTTGAAGTTCAACGCTGAATTTGAGAACGCTACTTTTATGTCCAAAATAGTAGAATGAAAATATGTCTTTTGTCTGTATCCAGCTTGCCAAGATGTTTCTTCTAGGTAAGAAATCGTTATCCAACACTATGTGCAACATGATGCTTACTTTCCTATGCAATATTATGGCAAGCACTTTGAATTGAGGCGAGTAAATCACAAACACATCGCGGGCACTCTTTCTGTACGTTGTATCACCGGAAAGCATGAAGCAATTTTTACTGCAGCCGATTTCATACGCCGTAATGTGCAAGAAATACACCCAATGTATTAATTTATTAGTCGCAGACAACTTGCAAATGTGGATACAAAGCGTCAGTGATACAGACCACAATAAATAGTTATTCTCAAATAGATCAATGTGCACGAGATCATGCGTGATCAGCATTTACAGGCAATTATGTTTCGCAACAAACAGGTTGCTGTGCTTGTAACTGGAAGTAAACCCAACGTTGTACAGGTTGCGGAACTTGTAACAGTAATCGTGAGGATCAAAGTCGCCAATGAATGATGGTACGTTGGGTACACGTGTGCGTAGGGGCAAACAGTCGGGCACTATAAGTGTAGTGAAACAGGTAGATGTAGACAGAGAACATCTTATTCTTGTACTTGTCAAGAACATATTGAAGTATGTATCAATCGACTTGCCTGTGTGATCGTGAAAGAGTGCGACAAACTGAGCAAGCAGAAACTGTACACCCTTCTTTCAAGAGGAATCGTATTATACAATGTATTGCTTTGGTCACTGCAGCCGCCTTTTAACTACTGGCGTGTACCTGCATGTTGCATGCGAGTAACATGTATTACTTTTCAGATGGCAATATGCTGGAAAGTTGGGTAGTTACGCGCTTAAACAATATTGATGTAACGCCCGTCGGCTAGGCTCCAATCTGACAGTCTGATAAGCACGGGATTTAATTGTCCAATTACTAGCAAATATCATGTTCCCGCCCTATTCATTAGGTCGCCTATGCAACGATACTTGTACTGCCATTAAACGTTTGTCGGACTGCACGCGGTCGCGCGTGCCGAATGGGTGTTGGAGAGCGGCGAACAGAATCGAAAGGATTTGTTTCCGGAAGGCTTGGTCATCTAGTAGCCTCTCAGCTAAGGTTGCCTTGTAGGGCACAGTTACGTTCATAATGACTGAACAGTGGGCGCGAGAAACAGGCCCAGTTTAAGTAACTGACTGCGAATGGCTTTCTCCAGCTGGTTGACACGATCGAACACACATTTTGGCTAGTTATTTTAAACTCATTGGCTAATTTTAGCCTAGTTAGCTACTTGTTTTCGTGGCTTTTGGTGGGCACCCATAAATATAGACAAGCAAATTGTATTGTGGCTAACTGCAGCTGCGTATTGTATGCTTTCCTGAGCAGTGTAGCTTGCTTCGGTCGTAATTTTATTGGAACAGGAAGCAACAGAAAACGTAGTTCTTGAGCAAATAAGGTTGACTGGACCAGCTCCAAGGGGATACGTAGCAGACTTTGGTGAGTTTTGTGTCGTTCGCGCGGTGTTTCGGACTGCGGAACTCTGTGAACTTTCAGGAGGAGTCTATTCGAGGAACATCTGCAACCTGAGATCGTTTGACATGGGAGGTAAGCAAAACTGAATACTAGTGTGATGGTAAGTTAAAGAAATTCAGTGGGATCAATGGGTCGACCTCCTTAATGAGTAGCTTCAAGTTGTAGAATAGAGCATTACAAGCAGCGTTGAATACCAAGTGTTGTGAAACATTCCACATCAGCGTACTCCAAACACTAATCCAATGCGCACCACAAGCACGCACCCTATTGTTCGATGTTGGTACTTTTGTCGCCCTAATTAGGTTCCATTGTTTCCATTTAAAATCAAGAACTGCTTATACCGCATATTTCTGGGTTTAGTAGCGAAGAAAATTGATAAGAAATAGGTCCATGTGTAAATAATCCAAGGAAGGGAATGCAACTGCAGCGACAAACGCAACTTAGATAAAAACTTGTAGCTTATAAACAACTTGCATCCTTCCTAAAACAGGAAAACAGAAACTGCGCCTAAAATGTAACCAGCGTGTATGAGTATTTAGTGTTCATCTTGCTACCCTGTAGACAGAATATCAAGTTAAATAGAGGAAACTTCAAATACGCTCGTCCAGTATGTTCTCACTTAACAAGCGTCACGTTGGGTAGGAATGATATTAGGTGCTTAGGTAGCCTGGTCACATGCAACATTGTGAGACTATATACTCTGAGTCACTGGATTAATACTGCTGTGAAAAAAGAAACATAATAACAGAGAAAGGTCACAGTACAGCATCTGGTCAATGCTTTCTTTGGTGAGAAGTTGATGCCAGAGAACCAAAGATGGCCTAAAGTAGGTTAACTGTCCTCGTGGAACAAACCAACTCACCAGCAATTCGTGTTTTGCTACCGTTCGTCAAAGGTTCACAGCAAACTGTTTAGTCCTACAAGGAGGCATGTTTACCTTTGCTTTTGTCTTCTATACAGCAAAAACGTAGTTTCAGAAGTTGCTTTCTTGTTTGGTGTGCAGAGAAAAACATGTGCAGTGGTCCGATCAGGACGATTAATAAGTATAAGTGTCTGGAGCAACACGGCCGTCAATCCGGAGCAGCAGTAAAACTAAATTTGCCAGCTGATGGTACACTTTAAAAATCAACAAATTGCATGTGTACGAAATGTTATCGCGGAAATATATAGTAATTTATTTTACAAATGTGCTATTCGTCCCTCTGCTATAAGTTATTGTGCGAGCACAATAGGCTCATATCATCGTTCGGTTTCTTCATAATCAGCCATTTCGCGACCAGTTGCTGCATATTTTTGCTGTACCGTGCGAGTTGGGATGCCCTGAGACAACAGTTGAAGGCAGACGGTTGCTGACGAAGGCCACACACAAACACACACACTTTATTTGGCTCTAATGCACTTAAGCCGAATACTGAGAGTCATGAGCTTGAAAGGTTGCCCGCTTAGACCATCGGTGCGTGCGGTATTAAGGGACCACTAATAACGTTTACTCTCACATTTTCATTAAACAAGCACTTAAAGATTGGAGTTCAAGGGATACTTACAAATTCTTTTTCAAAGTTAACCACTGATTATTTTTATATATTAACAATTGCAGTTTAACCGATTCACTGACTTACTTGACCTTTCCTAACATGCTACTCTTTAGCAGTTGATACAAATGCCAACTGGGTTCATGGGGAGTTAAATTCCTGCCTTTTAGAGGTTAGTTGCTAAATGGATGTATTTTACACTAGATAAACTTTACAATAACATTCGCGACCTGTTGACCATGTAGGTCTATTATACAAATGCACCTTACCTCTGAGTCTTTAGGCGTGTGGTAACCGGGTGCCAAGTAAT